GAATAAAGACCTAAATGTAAGAGCTAAAACTATAAAACTCTTAGTAGGAAGCATAGGTATATGTATGTCTAACCATGGATTAGTCAATGGTTTCTTAGTTATGATACCAAAAGTACAAGTAACCAAAAAAAAAAATAATGATAAATTGGACTTCATCAAAATTAAAAGCTCCTGTGTATCAGGGACACTAAATAAGAAAGTGCAAAGACAACCCATAGAATGGGAGAAGATATTTGCAAATCACATATCTCATAAGGGTCTAGTGTCTGGATATATAAAGAAGTCTTACAATTCAACAATAAAAAGACAACCCAATTAAAAAATGGGCAAAGTATTTGAATAGATATTTCTCCATAGAAGATATACAAATGACCAATAAGCACATAAAAAGATACTCAGTTATCATTGGTGTTTTGGGAAATGCAAATCAAAATCACAATTAGATACCACTTCACACAATTACGATGCTTGTACTTTTAAAGAAAAAGACAATAACAAGTGTTGGTAAGTATGTGGAGAAACTGGAACTCTCATACATTACTGATGGAAATGTAAAATGGTGCAGCTGCTGTGGAAAACAGTCTGGCAGCTCCTCAAAAAATTAAAAAAAGTTGGGCCGGCCCGTGGCTCACTCGGGAGAGTGCGGTGCTGATAACACCAAGGCCCCGGGTTCGGATCCCATATACAGATGGCCGGTTCACTCACTGGCTGAGCATGGTGCTGACAACACCAAGTCAAGGGTTAAGATCCCCTTACCAGTCATCTTTAAAAAAAAAAAAAAATAAATAAATAAAAGTTACTTTATACTCAGCAATTCCACTCCTAGGCATATACTCAAGAAAGTTGAAAACATGTTCACACAAAAACTTGTACACAAATGTAGCAGCATTATTCATAATAGCCAAAAAGTGCTAGTAACCCAAATGTCCTGATGAGTGGATGAACAAAATGTGGTATATTCATTAAATGGAATATTATTCAGCCATAAAAATAAATACTGATGCATGCTACAACATGGATGAACCTTGAAAATGTTATGCTGAGTGAAATAAGCCAATTGCAAAAGGTCATGTATTTTATGATTCCATTTATATGAAGTATCCAGAATAGGCAAATCCATTGAGACAGAAAGTAGGTTCATGGTTGCCAGGGACTGGGAGGTGGGAGGAATTGGGACTAACTGCTAATCAGTACAGGTTTTCTTTTCCGGTGATGAATGTTCTGGAATTAAGTAGTGGTGGTAATTGTACAACATAGTGAATGTACTAACAACCACTGAAATGTACACTTTAAAATGGTGAATTTTATGTTATGTGAATTACATTTTAATTTTAAAAAGAGCTAAAACTACTAAACTTGTAGAAAAAAACAAAGTTATGACATTAGATTAGACAAAGATTTCTTAAATAGGATGCAAAAAAGCACAAATCATAAAAGAAAAAGTTGGTAAATTAGACTTATCCAATATTAAAAACTTATCTTCAAAAAACAGAGTTAAAAAAATGAAAAGGCAAGCCATAGACTGGGAGAAAGTAGGTGCTAAACACATATCTGATAGAGGACTTGTATACAGAATATATAAAGAACTCTTACAACTCAATAATAAGACAACTCAATTTAAAAGTGGGCAGAAGAGGGCTGGCCAGTTAACTCACTTGGTTAGAGCGTGGTACTGATAATACAAAGGTCAAGGGTTTGGATCCCTGTACTGGCCAGTCACCAAAAAACAAAAGATGAAAATGGATAAAAGATCTGAACAGACATTTTACCAGAAAAGATATCTGGATGGCCAATAAACACATGAAAAGATGTTCAACATCACTAGTTATCAGGGAAATACAAATTAAAACGACAATGAGATATGTAGAAGAATGAAACTAGGCCCATACCTCTCACCGTATACCAAAATGAGCTCAAAATGGGTTAAAGACTTAAATATGATACCTGAAACTGTAAAACTCTTAGAAGAAAACATAGAGGAAATACTTCAGGACATAGGGCTGGACAAAGACTTTGTGACTAAGATTCCAAAAGCACAGACAACAAAAGAAAAAATTAACAAATGGGATTATATCTAATTTAAAAGCTTCACATCAAAAGAAACAATCAATAGAGTGAAAAGACAACCTACAGAATTGGAGAAAATATTTTCCAACTGTACATCTGACAGGGGATTAATATCCAGAATATACAATGAAATCAAACAATTTAACAGGAAAAAAACAAATAATCTGATTTTAAAATGGGCAGAGGAGCTGAATAGACATTTCTCAGAGACATACAGATGGTTAATAGGTACATGAAAAATGATCAACATGACTAGTCATAAGGGAAATGCAAATCAAGACTACATTGAGATATCATCTCACCCCAGTTAGACTGGCTATTATCAAAAAGACAGAGAATAACAAATGCTGGTGAGGATGCAGAAAAAGGGGAACCCTCCTACACTGTTGGTGGGACTGTTAGTTGGTGCAACCATTATGGAAAACAGTATGGATGGTCTTCAAACAACTACAAATAGAACTACCATGTGGTCCAGCAATTCCATTATTGGGTATATACCTAAAGGAATGGAAATCATCATGTCAGAGGAACACCCGCATTCTCATGTTTATCGTAGCTCTATTTACAATAACCAAGAGTTCGAACCAACTTAAATGTCCATCAATGGACAACTGGTTAAGGAAAATATGGTATATATACACACTGGAACACTACTCAGCCATAAAAACGAATGAAATTCTGCCATTTGCAGCAACATGGATGAGCTTGGAGAAAATTATGTTAAGTGAAATAAGCCAGGCAGAGAAAAAGAAATACCACATCCTCATGCATAAGTGGAGCTAAAAAAAGAAACAAACAAGGAAACAACAACAACAATATGTTGAACTTTCAGAAGAAGAGAACAAATCTATGGTTACTAGAGGTGGGGAAGGGGAGGGAAGTTAGGGAAAAACTGGGTAATGGACACATAGAATAATTATGTTTTGTGATGATGAATATGCTAATAATCCTGATTTAATGATCACATGATGTATACAAATACTGATAGTCAACTGTGTACCCCACAAATATGTATATTCAGTTGTTGTGTTTGTTTTTTGTTTGTTTGTTTTAAAAAGATGACTGGTAAGGGGATCTTATCTCCTGACTTGGTGTTGTCAGCACCACACTCTCCCAGGTGAGCAAACCAGCCTTCCCTATATAGGGATCCTAACCCGTGGCCTTGGTGTTATCAGCACCACACTCTTCCAAGTGAGCCACGGGCCGGCCCTTTCAATTGTTTTAATAAAAAAATTTTTTAAAGAAAAAATGACAATGAGATACCCCCACACACCTTTCAGAGTGGCTTTATTGACAATAGCAAGTGCTGACAAGAATAGGAGCAGCTAGGACTCTCATA